TTCTGTGTAATAACATTAATAATAACATCATTCAGACAACAAATTATAAAATATGCATTTTAAATATACTGTGACTGCACGTCTTCGTTTGAAAAGTATCTCTCAATAGCAGTGCCAGCGCTAAGCTTTTTGCCGCCCGGTGCAATCACTTCGATTCCTAGATTTTGCCGCCCCTTAAAATTTTACAAATTTTCTCGCCCATCAATTCTGCTGCCTGGTGCGGCTGCACCTGTTGCACATACTCTGGAGCCGAACCTGGCCAATAGTTAGTAGCTAGAAAGAATATTTTAAGATTTTAAGAATGTAATAGTAAATGAAAGGCAATTACAAATTATTTAAAAAATTATACATAAAATAATTTGCATGCTGAATACATAACATGAGTAGTTGCAGTCATGGCTGATTTAACATTTCTTTTTGTTATTGAGAAGCACATTCTTAACTTGAATTATACAGGGAAATGAGCATAGTCTGAGCGCCCGTTTTTAATCGCATTTGCGCCTTTTCTACATCTTTATAACAATTAATTTCGGTTGAGTAAAGGAAATTCTACTGCAGAAAGTATGCAGTTTGGCAGACAAATAAGAGAGGTAATGAGATTCAGAATGATTTTACTTGTTCAGCTTCATACTGATTGTATAATTTTAAATTTCCTCTGCCAGATTCGAAATTATTATTAACTGTAGTGTTAGCAAATGCCTACCTCATTAATGTTGTGCAAGAATCAAATGACATGGATTAATTTTGAAGTGACGCAGTATGGAGCGATTTATTAAAAGCAATTAATATTTTTAGAATAGGAAGCGGAAATTATTTAGAATAGAATAAAAAATTACATGCATAGGTTTTGCAGTGTTTCACAAAAATGGTATTACAAACTGAACATAATAATCGTTATCAATAATATTAATTTCAGTTGTCACTCCAACGATTGCTCACTCGTCTCTCTAGATCAATCACTGCCTTTCTCAAAGCAGTGCTCCGCCATGGTTCAAGCATTTTTGCCATCATCATCTAATGGGTCATCGCTTTGGCTCAAATGCCCCAAGCGATCATGCGATTTGACCACCTGCTTCTTTTAGATCTATAGACTTAAAAAAAGTCCTCTCTCATCTGATTACATATGCTCATACCATCCACCAACTCTTTGCGAGAAATTCGTACAGTCGAAATGAGTAGATGGAATGTGTATGTAAGATAAATCCCTAAAAGCAGTGATAATAAAGAAAAGATGATGACGCACTGAATAAGCTACCACATGCTAAACATCGAGATTCGAGTTGATAAATTCGAGTTCACCAAAGTGATCCCTTGAAGAACAGAACTGCTAATAGTACACATTGTGATGTATTGATATGTTTGTAATTCATACTAACTGTTCGGTTATATTCCAAAAGTCTAAAAGTTTCCTGATAACTTCTTTTCATTGTTGAATAACATGTCGGCATTGTTGAGGAATGTAATTATGCATATGGTCGATATTTTGGTCATATGTTAACCACACAGTTCTGAACAAAGCATGGAGATATTGTTATTTATCTCGGGATTTTGTTTTAGAAGGTATAAAGTTTCTTCATGTTGGTTTTGATAGCTCATACAGGAATTAAATGAATTAGAATTAAAATTAGTTTAAAAAAAGCTAACGCTTAATTTAATTCTCTTATTTATATTTATAGCCAGTTAGACTGAAATAAGCTTTATTTGCCTTTACAAGAGCATAATCCACATGTGAGAAACTCAAAAGTCAAATCCAAAATAACTCCAAGATATACTGCACTGTCAACAATTGAAAGATAGTTTCTATTAATTTTAACATCCAAATATTGACTCATTTATTTGTTTTGATTCTGAGAAGAAAAATGTTGCCAACGATACTTTCTTACACAATCACCGACCACTTGCGGTGAGGAACTAAACAGCTAACGTAACAACTAAGCCAAAGATAAGCAGTATTGAAGACTACACAGTTTAGTTTAACCTAGCAAGTTGACTCAGAAATCTACAGCAGGATAATATTTCGGTGGCAAAAATGCGAAGCCGAGATTAAAAGTTAAAAGCTGGCAGCTATTACAGTGTGCGCTCTCATTAATGAAACCATACTCCTTTAAATACACTCTCGTTCACTCTAACTGGCGAGGAAACGCGAACGGAATAAGAGAAGACAGAAAAGGCTAACAAATGAAAATAACAATTAGCAAAAATAATACAAGATGACCGGAAAAATATGCATAAGTATATATTTTGAAAAAAAAAGTCTACGGATTTCAAAGCATTCCTATAGCCCTTCTTTGTCGTATAGCCATCAGAACATCCAACTAGCTAAAAGAAACTTTCGGTTTTGATTCGACGATTGATTTTTCTTAGATTCTTACTCGTAGATATAATACTGTTATGAAATGTGGAGGCGCGGTAAGATAGCTTCCCCGCAAAGCAGTTTTAGGGTTGCCGTAAAATAGCAAAAGAAAGCAAAGTTGCCACATTTGACAAGAAAACGCTCATTTGGCGACAAAATTGGCAATATACCATGGAGGGATGGAGAACCTTCTGGAACGAATTCTTATCGGTTTAGCGAGCTCCGGGAATGACTGAACCGAAGAGTCGGGAGCTGTGCTCTGTGTGTCGTCAAGTGCATCACGAATTGTATCACGGAGAGTCTCAAGAGTACGTGGAGTTCTGAGAATGACCAAGCAGAGTCGGGAACTGTACTCTGGTGCTTTGCAGTGAAGCTGTCTCGCTGTTATTGCCTGACAGTGTGAAGGCTGTGTCGCTGATTGTTCCTGCGTGTTTATTATAGATCTTCGATGACTGTAAAAGTGTTTTGGAGCTGTCTTGATTAATATTGGTAAATAAAGTGTGTTTCGATATTCCATCAAGTGCTGTCATCATTATTCATTCCAAATCCACACGAACCCCATACGAACGTGAAGGAAGAAAAAAAAAATTAACAATATATAAAAATAGAATTATAAATAATTCAGCAGTGGTCCCCAAACTAAAATATGGTAACGATAGCTCATTAGCAGGTAAATTAGGCCAATTACGTTTCATCTCCTCTCCCAAACTGGATTTTTTTCCCGGGGTGGGGGGATGTAAAAAATTGAAAGTATTCCTTCCATGTGTCATTTTAGCATACTAACCAGTGCATCCAACTAATATAGCTCAGAATTGAGTTTTATTACCGGTAACAGAACTCCCGATTTTTCAAGATCTCCCCTTTCTTCCATTCAAATAATTAACAGAATTTAAACTGAAATAACTGAAGAAAAATGCTGAATTTGCTTTGAAATCTATTTGATTTTGTTTTAATCTGATGAATATGGAACTTATGTTTTATTTTTAGAAAGACAAAGAATTACTTTTTTCACTACTTGCATAAAAAAAAAAAAAGTGTACGAAGTATTATCCATTTTTTTTCCCTTCTTCTTCAAAGTAACTTTATTGAGATAAGTTCTGGGAAATTAAGATTACAAAATGTCAAAAAATACATTAGAAATGAAAAACTGTTGCTCTATACACACTTCTAGTGATATGTTGATGCAAATCGGTAGATATGTATAATCTTCCAATAGTTATTCTTCCCAGTATACCATGTATTTTCTACACAAAATTCCTTCCAACTGTTTAATTCTGCTATCAAAATCATTTTCATATTTTATAAAGTGTGCTCAAAGGAACTGTTTTTGTATTTAAATTTTACTCTAATTCAAAGTTCTTAAGTCTCTGATTTTAGTTTTTGTTGTCTAAAATCTTTATCCCACCCTTTTATTGTCTCAAAAGTTTTTAATATTTCTGATTGGAAAGCATTTCTAACTTTGCAGAAAAGATGAATATATTTTACATAAATTTAACTTAATTATCATTTCATATTCTTAACAATAATAAATAATAGAGCCTAATAATTTCTAATAAATTCCAGTCATATCTATAGTATTCTATCATCATTTAATAATAATAGTCAAACAAGATGCTCCTAGAAATTTTGCACCAAACAGCATAAGAAAATTGGGGGAAAGAAGAAGAAAAAAGAAGGGGGGATTCATAAATCTTCCACTGCTCACTTACAGCCAAAACATTTAATCTTTCTTTCTTAAAGCCATAATTATTAAAAATCTCCTTCAGTTGATGAATTATATTTTCTGGAGCTGTTTAATATCCATAAAAATTAGTCTGTAAAGAAGTAGTCTGTAAATTAGTCTGTAGTTTCTTAGCTGCCTTTTATTTTTACTTTTCACTCATTTTTCATCGCTAATCTTCTTTCAGTAAAAGGTATTTAAGGGTTTTGTTGTCTCATTTAGCTAGGACATTCAGTAACATTTTTCTGTTCTCCGTATAAATATATGTTTCTTTTTTATCACTCACTTTTGCAACTGAAGAAGTTTCTATTTAATCTTCAAAACTATAATAATGCAATTTTGCAGTTCCTGTTGCTGATTTTTGGCTTCATTTGTATTCTGTGTTCTTTCATAAGAATTATTTCCCATAATTTACAAAGAAATAAAAATTTTCAAAGTTTTGAATATATATATATTTCTTACAAACTTTTTGCCCCGGTCATTATTTTTTTTTTCCATTTCGATACTTGACTTCCAAGTTCCAAGCCTCAATATGGTGTTAAGAACTTTTTTTACTTACATTCTTTTTTATCATACAAATAGCACTGTACATCATTTACATAATCTACAAACTTTAAGATTTTGTTCTTAGTGCCTCCAATTTGTGCTGCAGTAAAAAGAATTATTCTAAAGTTCAAAATGTATTTTTCCTTCTTTAACACTTAATTTGTAATGCTAATAAATTCAATAAAATCTGTTTGCTTGACAAATCCTTCTTACTTTGACAACTTGACTTTTAAATGTAAAATTAATTTAGTAAAGCAGTCCTGGTAATATGTACTAGAATAATTCTTAACAGATTTTGAATAAAAAATTGTATAATGAACAGTTTAATGTTTTAAATTAATTTTAGAATGCAATTAAATATTTTTTTTACTATCATTCCAGATAACCCATTAAAATGTAGCTGTGAACTCCTCTGGCTAAGTAAAGACATCCAAGAGAAACGACTAGTAAAATATGAGGGAACTTGTTTCGATTCTATACAGCAACAATACAAAAATCTTACTGCACTTGATGAAAATGAATACTGTTAAAAGATATTTGGTTTTAATATAACAGATCAGTCTGTGCTTATAGGAAACAAAAACTGATAAAATAATTTTATTATGTACAAGGTCCAGTGATTCATCAGTTTATTTTTATAGGACGATTTTCATGACGAAAACCTGATTCTGTACATTCTGAAATATTATATTTATTTGACACATTTTACTGATAGAATAAATAAAACACCGTATTATGTTTTAAAAAGACATATTTAATTTATTTCCTTTTACTCATTATCCTGTTTATATAAATCTGTATTAAATTATATGGAAATACAGGTCGTATCTTTATAATCCAGATTCTCTTATCCTGCAATCCCAGGATCCAATGAGTTTTATATCTACTGCCATTAGTTTATAAATCTGTAACTAGGATAGCAATGCAAGAGTTGCCAGGGTGGCACTCAGGTTTCAATATATGTTATGTTTTGGTCTCTTGTATGCAGTCCTTAAAAGTTTTTCCATTTAGGTGCATAATACAATAATTTTATTATGGCCAATCTTTACAGTTATTATACTTAGCCCATCAGATTATCAATTAAAAGATTAAAAAATGCTGTTACTAATAAGCATATGTATATATCATAAACCTGAAAAAAATGGAATTACCAAAAATAACAGAGGAACATGTGATAAAGACATATGAGTACGATGGGAAAGGTTATTCTAATTGTAATATGATTACAGGACTCATATGCATAGTTACTAGTGTACAGGCAATGCACAGTTACTAGCACACATGCAGTGTATAAGCAGCAACCATCTTTAGGAAGTCAAATTACAATTTTATCATTTTTTGTGATTAGATTATGACCAGATACTCAGATTGAAGACATAACAGAACTACTCAACAGTTGCTGGATGGATAGCAATGCTGGATATCAATAGTTGATTACATTATAATCCTAGTGAACAAGATGGTTGCATGAATATTTCCATGGACTTTCCTGTGTGTTATGTGAATATGAGCCATTTTACTCTAATATAGCCTTGCCTAGGCATATTGTCTTCATATGATTTGCCTTAATCTCTTAATGCACCAATAACAAAACCAGAAAGTGTTTTTCCCCCAGCAGCATTTTTTTATTTTTATTTTAACTCAACCTGTTTCTTAATTTTAACCAAACTGTAGTGGTTATATTTTGTTGTATTCATATCTGAAAAAAGTTCTTGAATGTATTTATTTGGGTGCTCAGAAATAATTTAGTTTGGTGTAACTGAGTTAACTTGGTTGAATTCATTAAAAGGTTAATTATATCACCCAGCCAACCAATTTAAGAGGTACAGTTTGCATTTGTGATTTCTGTAGCAGACTTCTCAAAAAGACAAACTTATAGGAGATGTAGGGGGCACAAAGACGATTCAGAATCACATAACATTGCAGAGTCGGAAATGCCTTCATCATGTAGCAGAGGGCATTGAATAGAGGTCGCCTGTGAACAGCAACCATGTTTGAAGTCAACTTTTGTGAACCAGTTTGCACGGCAGTAGGATAAACGAGTACTCAAACATTGAACTGGCTGACATGCACCTAGTGTATAAAGCTTCAGATGGCAATAGTTGCACCACTCTGCATGTATACCAGGAATGTTTCCTGCACGGACATGCTCCTCATCATATGATCTTCACACGATTGCACAGAAGGTTACATGAGGCTGGTTGTTTCATGAGAACTACCATAAATCAAGAGTGAACAACACGGACACCAGACAATGAGGAGAATGTCCTACGTCTGACAGAAGGCAATCTGAGTACAAGTACTTCAGCGATAGCCGAATGATCGAGTTTGTCCCAAACCATTGTATGGAAGTATATTGTCAAGAAATCATATGCATTCGTGCCATCTGCACAGCCAAACATTGGAGCCTGCGGATTATCCACTCCAGAAGAATTTTGCTTCTTGGTATCTTTAACAGAGTGTGGCAGATATAGCATTTGTTGCATCCATATTGTTCATGGATGGGGCATTTTTAACAAGAGAGGGAGCTTTCAATCAACGTAATGCACATTTGTGAGCTGTAGATATCCGTATGGTACCAGAACACGTGCAGCTCAAAGGTGTTCCTCTGTCAACATTTGGGCTGGCATTGTTGGAGACCACCTCCTTGGACTGAACCTTCTTCCTTGTCTGGATGAAAGGGTATATTTGATCTTACTATGTGATGTCCTGCTTAAACTTATTGAAAAAGGCACATTGTCTTCAGTCATTGCATCACTCAGTATGGTTCCAGCATAATGGGGCTCCTCTACACTACCACAGTGACATCTTTCAACAACTAAACATTATATTTAAAGAGCAATGGTTAGGTCACTATGCTCCAATTCATTGGTCTGCTAGGTCAACAGATCTATCATGCTTGGACTTTTCTTCTGGGGTCAAATGTGGGCATTGGTGTATAAAACCGAGTTGATTCAGTTGAAGACCTCATCTCTGTAGCATTCGGGGAGATATGAGAGACACCAGGACTCTTCCAGAACATTAGAAATTCCATGTGGCACCATTGTGAGGCCTGTGCAACTGCTCCTAAATGTCATTTCGAACACCTTCTGTAGCATGTAGCTTTTCTCAGAGTAAAATGTGTAATAAAATGAATTTTGTTACATTTACGTGCTGCTATTTATTTTCTTTTTCTTCGCTTCTTTTAACTGTAGCTCTTATAAGGCTTTCAGACCGTACAAACACTATGCGATTAGGAATTGTCTTTGTGTCCCCTACATCTCCTGTAAGTTTGTTGCACTGGTAGAGAATTACCCTGTATATACATATATATACAGGGTGTTTCAAAAAGAATCATCCAGTTTTAAAAATCCATAACTATTCAGCTTTTAGTCTGTTTTGATCAAATAAGGTATAAGTAGAAAGAGAGAAATTTAGAACTTCATGTAACTGATAACAGATTGCACTAATGCTCTTCCTTTGGCCCCCACCACAGTATTTGTCTGGAAGGCTACTGTGCAACAGAAATCATTTTGTATTCCATGCTTTGCAAAGTCTGAATCCATTAACAACTGTTTGTGATTTTTGTCGATAATACCCTACTGCTTAATAACTACTACTCATAGCATTAGGCAATGATATAAAGACAAGAGTTGTCTGTGTAAAAGTAAATCACCTGGCTATCCCCACGTGTCAGCTGAAAACAAGGGCATTCCAACAAAATTTTGCACACAGGCCAGAGAAACCTTTAATTTAGATTGTAAACAAACAAAAAAAAAAATTATGATTAATATATGATATAAAATTAATCTGAAGTTTCTTTGTTAAATATTTTTCATAATATACACATTTCAAATTGGGTGATTCTTTTTTAAACACCCTGTATATTTGCAAAGTGTACCAGTATACGAGGGCTATCCAGAAAGTAGATTACGTTTTGGAATAAAAAAATAAACAAAGTATAGGAAACAAATTTTATTATATACAGATGAAAGCCACACTCAAATACTACTTTTCTACATAGTCACCATACAAATTAAGGCATTTATCGTAGCGATGTACAAGCTTGGAAATTCCTTCGTCGAAAAATTCGGCCGCCTGCGCCTTCAACCACTTCGTTACCTCTTCTTGCCTTCCATCTTGCACAAAACTTGTGGTAACCAAGCTTTTCGCTGATGATTTCGTGCAACAAACTTCGCGAAATTTGTGGAAAACTCAAAGAAAGTTCCGTTATTGTGAAATTTCGATTTTCACGGACTTTAGCATCGACTTTTTCGAGAAGTTCGGCGGTCACTATGCTGGGTCTCCCACTTTGATCTTCGTCGTGAACATTGGTTCGGCCATTTTGAAATCTTATGACCCACCTTCAGTGATAATGTTGTCCCCATACACTTCACGAAGCTGCCGATAGATTTCTATCGGTTTACAGTTTTTTGCAGTCAGAAACCTTATTACTGAGCGCACCTCGCAGCTCGCGGGATTTTCAATTAACGCAGACATTTCAAACCGTCACAGTATCTGAACGGAGCACAGCACGAACCTCTCACTAGCACGGCTAGATGCAGACTGAGCTGGCGCAACGCTCTGACCCCAAGATGGCCGCGCTAGCCCCGCCCCTAGCGGACACAGACGGAAACGTAATCTACTTCCTGGATGGCCCTCGTATTTAGCTAAAAACACGATTTTTACTTAGTCTAATTTTTATTCACAACATTTCTACTGTCTTTTTAGAATATTCCTATTAAAATGATGGATGAGTAACTGATTTTCAAAACCATAAAGTTAAAAAAAAAATTATTCAGTAGCCAACTACATGATATATGGCATGAAAGGTCTGGCCATTAAAAATGCTAATGATGTAAGTATTCACAAACTGAGAATGAATTCCATAAATACAGCCTTTATAGCAAAACAATGTAATAGAAATGTAAAATACTACAATTAAAACATGTCAAAAATAATTACACCACCTTCAACTGACCATATGACATATAAACCTTAAAAAACCTACACAACTGTGAATGTTAATGTACACTTTCTGAATTCTAATTTAGTTACCTTTTTTATTTCTTTTCATGTTCGTAACATATAGATATGTGAAAAATTGATATCAACACATCAGTTTGAGATAATTCTTGTTTCAATTTAAACTAAAATAATTTTGTAAGATTAACTTTTGAGTAATAAATGACAGTTGTGGACATTTAGCCCCATTCATATAGAATTCTTCTTCAAGAAACTAAAATTAAAAAATAACCATAAAACAGATTGTATATTCATTCTTGTGTGCCATCCTTTTATGTACCAGAAATTGCCCGCAATGAAATTTACAATTAAAAATTAATTGGTGCCTTAATGAGCATTTAATTCCTGTCAACTATGCTCTGGAAATAAGCATCCTTCAAGGTAACACAATGCATAATATATAAATTCCTCTTTTACCCACTTTTAAAGAAAAAAATGAACTATCTATCAACAGTGCAACTAGCCTTATAAAAATAATGTACAAGAACTGATCTTCCAAAGCACTTCAAATTGCTCTATTGAACTAGAGATTTTAAAAAAACTCTTAAAATTTGTGTTAATGGTTCTAGATACAGATATTTTATGTATTTATATTGGTTGATCATTAAAAGGCACCATTAAACAGAAAAAAGGTAAGAAATTACTATAAAATGACAAGAAATGCAATGAAGAGAAATATTGTATTTTTAAGGCCTATTTACAACATAAAATTACATAACTGAAAAAATTTCATGTTATATTTATTATTTAACAGAAGGAAGAGCATCATGCCTTTTTATTGGTAGCAAAGATCCAAATAACACATGCTGTATCACTGGATGCTTTCCCAGAACCTGAAAAAACATTTTTAAATATGTATGGTTAAAAAAACTAACATTTAAATTTCACTACATTTAGTTTTAAATTACTAGAAGTAACTTACGTGCAAATTATTTTTTCCATAAATTTTCTTGCTCAAGCAAGACATTTAAAAAAATTGACACAATAAAAAAAAAAAAAAAAATCTGAAATTTTCAGATTTTAAATTACTCCAAAGGGCGTTTTTTAACATTTTGTGTGTTACCTTTCTTTATTAAATATCATGTTCCTCGCACTTAACAATAAGATCCAGTGCAAAGCAATTCGCAATAGTTTTTTTTAAAACGATAATATCTTTAGAATTCCATACAGAGACTCACGCGCTGGAGATAAAAATTTTTTTTCTGCACACGTTGCCATTGCTCTCGCTTTGAAATCCTTGAGTTGTTATCAAAAATTCGTCAAGTTTTTAAAAAATAGGAAATCGATCATAAAACAAATTTCAAATTTCAAATTTGTCTTCCACATGCTCATATTCGTTGGGGATACGTTATTCAAATTCGATGACTCTATGTACCGTTGTTTTAATCATCACGAGAAATATACATACATTTATGCAGATTTTTTCATATTTATTCTTATATAATGCAGTCTCTACATTTTGTGGCAACAGTTTAAAAGTGAACCGACATTTCTGAGTCCGACGCAAAATGCCAAAACGAAACTAATAGTCCTTCGGGATTCAAATCCCTTTGGACTAAAAAAAAAAAAAAAACTTTCATAAAGAAAAGCACATTATCAACAAATTCAAAACTAACCAAAAATCAGCCTTTAAGCTGATTATGAGAACTGCATCAATTATGAGAACTGCATTTTTGATATCAATATAAAGTAGATCTATGGTTAATCTTCAGCCAAATTTTATAAACTTGCATAATTTTACATAACAATAATGTTTGTTTATAATTAAAGCATGTTGTTCCTTTTACACTCCGCATTATTATTACTGTCTTTATTTTTTTAAACTGGCTAGACATAAGCTTTGAAAGCATACATTGAGAATGGCTAAAGATACTAGTTATTTAGCCATTTTCTCATGTTATGCAGGCTGCATCACAGGGACCATGAATAGGAAGTTTCTTCCTCAGGATGGGAGGGAAGGGACCAACCAAAAGAAACAAATTTCTGTATTTATTTCCTTTTTATTTTATTATAGTTATATTTTAATTATATGTAACACTGTTACACCAATAATTTAAATATGAGGTGTATCGGAACTAAGTACCGTTTTGAAAAAAAAAAAAAAAAAAAAAAAAACTAGTAAAAACAATTTTTTCGAATCCAATTTTATTTTTACATTTTTGTATACCATTGTCAAAGAAACTTCCCGCCAGTTTCGATAACCACGACTCCACAGCATTTTTCGTGTCATCGTCAGATCCGAAGCACTTGCCACCAATCTCGCGCTTCATGTGCAGGAACAAGTGATAGTGAACATCTTCTACTACAGACCGCGCCAAGTCCGGGCTGCACGGCGGGTGATCGAACTGCTCCCAATGAAACTGTCGAATTAACGATTGAGTGACAACAGCAGTATGGGGCCGAGCATGTCATGAGCACACAATTCCTTTACTGGCATTCCTCTTCGTTTGTTTGAATGGCAACCTTAGTTTTTTTGAAGTCTCACAATATCGTCCGCATTAGTGGTTTCACTCTGGAAAAATTCAGTAAGCAAAACGCCTTTCCTATCCAGAGACAGGCACATGTTTTTTTGTGATGACATTGTCACTTTGAACTTTTGTTTTTTCGAGAATGAGTGTGTTTCCCACTCCATCGATTGTTGTTTCGATTCTGGTGTGAAATGCACACCCAATTTCATCATTCTCCCTCATCACTGTACCCCGCGTGAGAAATGTCAGGGCCCTACCAATCGCTTTGCTTTGAACATCAGTGAGCTTTTGGAACCCATCGGAACACAGTTTGTGATAATTCAGCGGTCAGACACAATTTCGAACAAACAGTACGTGAAATTTGTGGAATTGCCTCTGGAAGAGTTGTCATTGTGAAGCGTCTGTTCTCATGATTGCTTCATCAACGTCCTTACCAAATCATCAGTGACAACAGAAGGCCGACCACTTCCGAGCCTTGGCGTGGTCATCTGTTCGACCTGCATTAAACATTTTTTAACACACTTTTCTCACCATTCCATCACTTATCGCGTATTCACGTAAACTCTGTCACTTGACATAAATTTGGCCGGTTTAACATTCGCATTAAAAAATGTAATCACGGCCGAATTCTCACAGTCATCGGGAGAACTAATTGTCTTAAACATTTTCAATGTGCACAGCAAACTGAAAACACAACATAGAGCAACCAAAATGGCGACAATTGAAAGTCAGTGAATAAGAAAGACTAGTGCGCATGTGCGGGATGCCTACCACAGCGCTGTGACGACGCTAGAATGAAACAGTACTTAGTTTCCGAATACGCTATGTATTTTCATTTGCTATAGTTAAGCTATTCTCAGTTGTATGCTTGCAATAACTTTTTCCACCCCTCTCTCTTTTTTTGGATGTATATGCACTTATTTTGAGATCTGCTTTCATCTAAGAATTTTGATAAATTATGAATCTGAAATTCATTTTCTATCAATAGCATAAATAGTTCGAATGCTGAATATGAAATGCAATTAAGTTCATATCAATAGCACAAAATAACAATTATTTAAAAAGAATAGAAAACAAGTTTTTTTGGGGAAAAAAAAAGATAAGAAAAAATTTTAAAAATTGAATATATATATCATTGTAAAAACAATGCAGCAAAATAGAATTATTTATAGTTATTTATTATTCCTCTATCCTGCACTGCATGCAATAACTTATTTTGTAATTCTGAATGGATAAATTCAAAAGAGAAGAAAATTTGTTTACATTGTCAATGTAAAATTTCAGAAATGACATATTCTTTTTTACCATATAAGACTTAATGTACTGCAGACAGCATCAAATTAAAGTAAAATTTTGAAAATGGTACATCCTCATCATGGTTGGTTTTAAATTATCAGCCAGAAAAATGAACAGCTGGATATGCCAACAAACCAGAAATTAATTGGAACAATTATTGGCAGGAAGTTTGTAATCATAGCATTCTAAACAGAGTTTCAGGTAAAATCAAAGAGGCTAATAAAATAGTAAAAATCAATGGAATCTTTTTAAAAAGCACAAAAATGAAGAGAGTCGAATACTGATTGTTTATCACATAAAGAGACATCAGTTTCTTCAGAATCCTGCCACAACTTACTGCTATGCTTACAAGAAATTACTGCCACAACTTTGGCAGGATGTTCACAAACTTCCACAATCGACAGGATGATATATCTCCTTTAGCAACTCCATGGGTGCATATTTGTTCATTTCTTCCATCTCTTCATTTTTTATTCTATTTTTTTTTTCCATTTTCTGCCAGAAGAAACCCAACTCTGTGCAGGAAGTGGACCAATACTGTACCCACGAGAAAGGGGGTCAAACACATACATACAATGAAACTGTATTTGGATATTGAACACAGACCCTTAGTTTTGGTCTAGTCATCAGCCTTTGTTACTATTGCACTGTCCAAAGTGGCACATTTTTATATTTAAATTGGAAGAGAAAGATATCAGTGTAAAATGTAAATTTTACATTTTGCATTATCAAATAACAAATAATAAAATTTATGTGTAACCTTAACTAATCGGAATAAGGGAAACACATAATAATTAAACTGAGTAATTACATACTAATAAACAATTCTTAACACTCCAATAATACCTTTAACTGATCAAAAAATATTATACTCTAGATGTACAAGTTTTGCAAGCTTAATATTAGTTCAAACTACAAAATTAATTATTTGAAAGCCAATCTAAGTAAAGCATTAGACTTCAGTCTCTCTCTCCTGCTAAAAGAATTTAGAAGTCAATACAGTACAAAGTCCAAAATCCAAACCTCAAACCCCCAATAATTTTTAAGTTGCTTTTCTTTTTTTCTTTTCAAAAACCGAGAAAGATTCTGAGAGTAGCATATACTTAATGTATCCTAATTCTTAACTCCATTTCGACACTAAATAAAACCTTTTCATGTTAAAGAAAGATGATCATTTATTAGCATAAATCTGTATGGTCAATAATTTGGCTCCATAACCACCTTATTCCTTGGTATACATCTCAAACCAAAACATTCTACTAAAGTTTATCACTAATTTTATGCCTATTGAGTACAGGTTGGTGTAATAATTGTATACCAACCTGGTGAATAATCTTTTTATTATACTTTGCTTTCATCACCACATAAGTTCATGGCAGCTTGTGAAATGTCTCATTCAGTAACGTCTAAAACAATCTTTGTTTTAAATGCGAGTAATTGAATAACAAACAGCATGATACTTTTGTACTGACATTATGCTTGGCAACAATTATAAACTAAAGTCAAAGTGAATCTTCAAATTGCGACAATAGAATTTCTAAAAAATTTGTAAATACTCCGTTACTATATGGTAGCACTAATGGTTTAAGATATACCAGGTCAAATCTAACCATCTAGTCTGTTTGAACAGAGAATAATATTGTTGTTCGATAATGTACTATACCAACCTGGTGAATCCTCTTTTATTATCTTTGCTTTCACACCACATCATTCATGGCCCTTGTGAAATGTCTCATTCAGATGTCTAAAACAATCTTTGTTTTAAATGCGAGTAATTGAATAACAAACAGCATGATACTTTTGTACTGACATTATGCTTGGCAACAATTATAAACTAAAGTCAAATGTGAAGTGTTAAATGTGCTGACAAGTAGAAATTTCTAAAAATAAATTTTGTAAATGACTACAGTTACTACTATGGTAGCACAGGTCAAAATTCATAAACCATTTAGTGCTGTTTGAACTGAGAATAATGATTTGTTGTTCCGATAAGGGTACTTTTCTGTTATGCACCTGCTATGCTTTTGTATGATCTGTTGGATATCAGCTGCCATGTGATGTGTGTGTTCACCAGCTAAAAATTATTCTTGTGACTAGATATTGTTTATGATTAAAAAACTCACCAAAATGTGTTGCAGATGCATAATGAAATGCACTGCCTAAAATAAATGAGGGCATTTATTTTATATAAACCTTAAGCCTGCGCAGGAAATAAAACATAAGTATAATAAATAACAATACTAATATAATTAAGGCTTAATTTCATCAGTGTGCAATATAAACAAGACAAATTTTAGAACAGCAGCATGTCTTTAGTTTCCAATCTTGTGATACATCACCAATAGTATATAGCAGATGCTCACTAAGCTTTATTGATGATAGCTGGAAATTTAAAGATTTTTGGACATCACAAAGAAAAAGCGAAATTTTCCAATTAATGGAATGTGTGAAGAAGTAGTAATAAATAAAGATGACACAAGTTTTTGATTGTGATAACAATGCCCCAATTACCAATCAACTAACAGACAGTGAAATCAGCAGTATGGATCAAAATCAGAAAATTTCACTACCAACAGTGAAGAAAGTGACAGAAAGGCTGATAAAAAGTTTCAGTTGACAATTTAGTAGGAGTTTTTGACATGGTAATTAAAGGACTTTGTAACTGAACAAGAAATTATGTCTATCTATAAAATTACAGAGAAAGTATTACCATAAAAAATTAAGCAACTTAAACAACTTACACTGAAAGAGATGTTTAATGAAGCAAACAATAAGTATTGAGCTTCTTTTTTGCAAGTTTTGATTTTGGTGATGAATACTTCATTATTTCATAAACAGCAATTTCTGATTTTTAATTTCAGAATTTCTACCTGTCATCTTACTAGATTTAAACTGATGATATAAAATCTAGAAAATTCCCAAATCTGGAATTACCGAAGTCCTAAAGAGTTTGGACCTTGGACTTTGTACTAGATTATCTGAAATTACATACTTTGCATATGCATAACCTTTTTCCTGGCAGCTGGGACATGTATATTCCATGCATTCATTACATTAAATAAGGATGAGAAAAATTTAGTTTATTATGATGATTTAAAATTTGTTATTTAATGCACAGCAGCACATACCAGACCCTGTTGATTTGTTTTTTTATTCCTTGCTGACTGAACATTCAATCAAATGGCTTCATAAAACATTAGTCTGAATAACCCAATTAAAAAGGTTAACAGTTTTTAAGCTTACATGCATATATTTACTATTGTACTAAGCTGATCCAAAATGCATTTCTCCCGGGCATCTAACAGCACGAAGATTGTGCATGTGTAAGTATATCGCTCAATTTAAGAATGAATAAGCCTAGCCATTATTTTTTGTTTATGTTAACATTTGAAGACACTGTTTGTCGGTAATCATGTTTAAAACAATGGATTGGCCCACCAGCTGTGAAATAAATGCCATTATTAAGTTTTTGAATGTGAAAAATGTTTCATTTAGTGAAATTTATCATCAGATAAGGGAAACTTACAGATAGAATGTGATGAGTGAAGGTATGGTGTGAACGTTTAATGTAAGGAAAGGAAAATGTCCACAATGAGAGCACAGTGGATCCCCGTTGATCACAAAAGAACAGGTGCCCTGCTTTGACAAAAAACTTTGTTTCAATAGGCAATTCATGATTTCTGATTTGAGTGCATTTTTAAAATATTTCACAATCTTTATTACACAGAACTGTGATTAAGTATTTGCAATACAAAAACTGTGTTCTCAATGGGTACCCAACACACTAATGGATTTTCAAAAAAGGAAATGCATGGGAGCAGCCTTGGAATTTTTGCAGCATTATGCATCACAAGGAAATACTAAAAGGATTGTCACGGGCACTCAAATATGGATTTGTTATGAGACACTTGAAATGAAAAGACAGTCACTGGAATGGCAAAAGAAAGCAAAGCCACCTCTTTCTTTAAGAAAAGTCATGAGCACTGCATTTTGGGACTGTCAAGGAATTTTATTAGTGGACTGGATGGAACGAGGCACAACAATCAATGCTACAGGTTACTGTGAGACATTACAGAACAAAAGGTGTCTACTGAGTTCTGATATTGTGTTTGTGCATAACAATGTGTGACCACATTTCACATGCATAACAATGATATTGCTTGATGTATTTCATTTGGAACAACCTCCTTATAGTCCAGACCTAGCTTCATCCAACTTCCATTTGTTTTCTCAAGACATTTTTTGCAGGCCAGCACTTTACAAGTGATGACAAAATCAAGGTAAATGTTCAGAACTGGTTCATGTCCCAGGTTGCCGAATTCTACAAAACGGGTATTTTGCAATTAGCACCAAGATATGGCACACGTCTTCATTTGCATGGTAAATATTTCAAAAAGTAGTTTAAGATATTATAGACTTTTCAGTTCTAGTGATTTGTAGACTTTTCTATTACAAAATACAAATGAAAATAAATTGTTATTCTTTTTTAATACCTAAATGGTACTTACTTTGTGGATGAGCTTTGTATTTAATAGCAATAAGTTAAATAAAATAAGCAGAGGATGGTCACCATAACAACATCAGAAATATGCCTTATGCCTTTTTACTAATTTCTTAATTTAATACACAGAAATTTGGAATTTAGTGTGCTTATTAAGACTACAGGAAGTTCAAATAAGAATCTTTTTATAAAACTGAAAAATGGTAACATTTAGATGCAACATATTTAATATATATCACATTTGCAATCAAAAGTTCTTTTTTAAAACACATTTCCTCTTAATATTCTTAACAGTACTTATCTGAAAAATGCAAAAAGTAACCCCATATGGAAAATCTTCACTGTCATTATGCATTAAGTTTGGTCTTTCAAAAATGCAACCTTATATTTGATATTTTTATGTATTGCATACAAAAATGTGTAATAAATTTCAAAATTATAAGGAAGGTATATTTATGTTATATCATAAACAGTAATATCACAGGTCCTTCTTGATGCTTCAGTGGGAAAAATAACATTTTTGTTCTATTTAAAAAAAAAAAAAAAAAAAAAAAAAAACTGAATTTGCAGACTCTACAGAATTTCTTCTGCACATAGCTTGGTAATTTTCCAGTATGTTTACCTAATCTACAAAGGACAGTACTGTAAATGGCCACTAAAAAGCAGAATAACTATATAAAAATCTACAATTTCTCCTACACGGCACAAGTAAAACAGAAGAAATAATTATTCATTTATGAAAATGTGCATAATTACTGTCATGATTTCAACTTTGACTTATTTGGGGGGGCTGCACATGAAACTAAGGCTTTTTGAATGCAATGTTTCTTTTTTTAATATTATTTACTATTATTATTATCATTATTATTTGATTCTGGAAATTCAAAAATACTTTATACACAATTTAGATCATTTACTGAATTAAAATATTATAAAGGTACAAATGAATTCCTATTGCATAAGTGAGGACCAATGAAGGATAAAGTTTATTAAAAATACAAACTCCCAAAAAATCGTTGTGGACCTCTTTACAAATGTTAAAAATGTTTTTAGTAGATTATTCTTCTTGTACATGTGTTTGAAATGTGAGTTGTTAATTTTTTTTAATAAATATATTTACAAAATATAGGCCAAGTGTTATCTTCTTTATAAACTTTTAAAAATGAAAAACTTTTAAAAATGTTGTTTATAATTATACACAACTTATCTAAACAGAAAATCACAAACCTCTTTTTTATACATCTTAATTAAACCAGAATTCACTTTTTCCCATGTAGGAACTCCGCTAATGTTCCACAGTTGATTAGAATGTTCTGAAAAAGGACCTGATTTAACCTGCAAGAAATAAGATGATAAAAAATTATTCCCAAGTAAGAAAATTATATAAAATAATATTTAAATTCTAAATCTAGCACATACCTGATTAATAAACTTTATACAAGCCATAAACATATAATCTTTAGAAAATGATGCAGCTATATCTTCATCAGGGAATGAGCGTGGCTCAAGGCGAGGATGACCTGCAAATAAGAATACCCGTAAATATCTAATTGCAGAAATATATTTTATTGTTATCCTAAGAAAATGAAAAAAAATTAGTTATTCACTGTGTTAACAGATTAAAATACCCTTAAGGGAAAAAGTATCAAAACAAGTGCCATTACTTACAGTGGCTCAGTTTTCAACACATGTCTGTCTCAATAAAAAGAAACTTTTAACGAACAGCCAACTTACTTTTCATAACTTTTTTAATCCAGTGAAAAATTCACTGTTTTGTGGATTATGTCTATATCACTGATACCACACCACATCAAATTTTTCAATTCAACTAGTCTTACAATCTTCTTGCTCTTGCAGTTTTTCCATACTGTAGTGATCAATTTTCCAACTTGAAAATACCATTTTAGCTGCAAAAGCTCTAATTGTCAGAAAGCATATGATTCAAATATATCATGATAACTGAAAATAATTTTTTTATTAAAGAATAAGCCAATCCTATGTTTCTATGTTATTTCCAGAAGAGGTACTTATGCAGCACTATTATCATGTGGGGGTACATTGATAAGGACTACAATATGTGCTGAAAACAGCTCAACTAAGGAAATGAATATAATCCTGCACCTTGAATAATTTTTTCAGCAAAGATATTTTGAACTGTTATCCACTCAAAAATTTATGAACATTGTATTTCATAATCTGCTGATAATTTACTACACATACCTCATGACAACTGCATCATACTGTAAAATTATACACACACTGGCCAACAAATTAGAAATCTTTGAGATTTTCATTTGAATGTACGCTAGGGATGAAGTATGCAGTTTTTTTATGATGTGGGTGACATATGGTTAGAATATTAGTATAAGTAAGGTGTAAGAGTGCTTTCATGATGAATGAAGTAAAATGGGAAAAACGACAGATCTTTCACCATTTGAAAAAAAGGCTTATTGTTGGTGCCTTTTACAGGGCCTCGATTTTGAAGACGCAAATCTCCTGGTTCTCAAAAGCAGCCATATCAAAGTTTTTCAAATTGAATCAAACCCACATTTCTGATCTAGAAGACGTAACTTCGTTCGCACAGTTTTCCAAAAGAGTGATCGTGCATCTCCACGAACCGTACGGAGAGCAGGACTCTACTATCTTCAACTGAGACAATCTCACCAGGCTCTTCCCAACATATTCAGTTGAACCAGCACAAGGATAATATGCTAGCCGCTGCCTGTGAAAAAACCACTCACTTTCTGCCAATTGCAAATTTTATTGTCAGGTGTCGGAAGAGACACAACATCTGAGGACTGTAATGGGTAATGTGGTTGGATGAATCACACTACACCTTACTTTGCACTAATGGAAGAGGTCAATTTTGGAGAGAACCCCATGAAGCCAAGAATCCACCTTGCCTTACTTGCACTGTGCAAGGGTCTGGTGGAAGTACCATGATATGGGGCACGTTCTGCTGTCATAAATGTGGTGCTCAGTGTTCCTCAAGGGTAAACAAACAGCCATGAGATACCTAGCTATACTGGCAGATCAAGTGCACCCTGCAATGCTGCATTTTTACCCTGATTGCGATGGATACTTAATGGACGATAATGCAACTGTATATCATGCCAGAAGTGTTCAAAATTGGTTCACTGAACATAAGTCTGACTTCTAACACCTTCCCTGGCCCAGATCTTACACCCCCAAAGAAAATGTATGGGATATGGTGGAAAGATGGTTTCAACAGCACTTTCTTCTTCCATCTACTTTACAAGATCTAAAAAGTTGCATAGCCAATGCATGATATTCTCTGGTCATAAATGCACTCTAGAAGCATATAGACTTCCTTCCCAAATGAATCAGAGCAGTTATCTGTGGAAAAGGTGGTCCATTAAAATATTGATCTTGGGCTTCTAATTCATTAGCTGGGCTAGTTCAATTACAGCAGATGTATGGAGCAGGAAAACTTTCAGAATTTAAGGACTCAGACAGCAGATTTTTGAAATCTCAGACATTACATTACGTGGGAAAAGTCCAGTGCTGACTCCAATTACATCAAATATTTTTTGAAGAATGCATTTGTTATGATCCTTAAACAGATGCAAAATTTCTTAACAGAAAGAATGAAAAAATGGTTGAATATGTTTTTTAATAAAGTACTGCTTTAAAAGCTTCCAAAAGAGCTATCATTCAAACTATTACAAGACTAAGAATCAAACACCTTAAAGGAATGAGAACAACTAGATAACACAAGAAGAGACATTAACTATTGGTCCTGATAGAATCTTACTCCAAAACACATCTACAAGGGTTCTTCAATACTGACATGGCTTCTAAACACTGAGAGATATATTCAAGGAAAATTTCAGTCAGTGAATCTTCTTTATACTGCTAAAGCAATGTTAGCTTCTGCAGTATGAAAGCTGTCTCTGAATGATAGCTCACAGCCTTTCACTCTTCATGACAGATAATACACACACCCAACTTTAAGAGCTAAATATGCATTTTTAGTTAAGAAACTAGTGTTAGAATATTGCAACTTGAACCTGCACCTCTCGCAACTTGAACCTAACCGTTACACCATGAAGACATGCAAGAAAGGAGGGAGAAAATACCTTATAATGTCATGAGGACATAGCATTCAAATTGGAAGTGTGTGAAGTGATTCCTTTTCTGTGGGAAAGAAAGTGTGTACCCAGACTGAGATTTATCATCAAATGAATGAAATGCAATGCAATAATTTCATGCGAGATATTTGCAAAATAATTTACATTTTTTAGAATAGTTGTATGGATATTAAAGAATGATTATCAGCAAGAAAAGGCCAATATCAATAATGGACAACACTGACCATGTTAATGAATTCCCAAAAACAGACACAAGTAAGGGATTCACGCAATGGATGAAATCATGGATGAACTGGGTCTTTTGCAAAAATACATGTATCATGCTGTAGAACAGAGAATGGAATAAGTTTCACCACGTATGTATTAGATGTATATGTATATGTTGGATTCAGCTAATACGAAGAGCAACAATTTCTTGCTTTTTTGGATCATAATGTAAAACGAAGATATAATTTTTTGGACAAAACCAGCCAAAGATGACTATTGTGACCATCATTTCTCACCAGAAAGGAAGTTACACTGGAGTAAAAACATCCCAAATCTCCATCTCTAAGAAAAATGTCACCTTTAATTCTAAAACTTTTCTTCAACAAGGAATAGAAAAAACATGCCCTTGGTATTCACAATTACCATGACATCCTACTTTGAGAATCTGAAGATGCTTAGAAAAGTGAGAAAGACTGATGGTCAAAGAAACAGATAAAAAAAAATTAGAAAGAAGAAATTACAAATAAGACAGTGTCATTCCAATGAATAAGTCAAAAACACACAGAAATTAGTATCAAAATTTGGACAGAAACTGCTTGAGCAAGGTGAAGACATACTTATGCCATGAAACAATAAATGTTTGAATAAACTTGGTGCTTATGCAAAAAAGTAATTTTGGTTAATTGCACTATGATGAATTAACTTTGATGCAAATAAAAGAAGTATTGTACACTGTGGAAAAAAAAAGCGGCAACAATTCTATATTTCTTGTTCTACAGGGCCGGCTGACGAAATTCAACTTACGTTTTTCATGTCTCAAAAGTGCAACTTATGACATGTATTATATTTATATATAGCATTGTTGTAATCTAGGTATTTTGACACAAAATTGGACTTTTTCTGAAATGACATGCCACTTTTTTTTCCATATTTCCAATTCTACAACTCAAATAGCCAAGCCAAGTTTGTAAAGTTGCACAACATTTTTTAAAAATTAGCTTCAAAATTTTATTTCCTCATGAAATGCTATGTATTTATTAATATATCTTATTATTAAACTTACTTGATCCTTTTTCCAGATTCGAAATATAGCTTATCCAAATAAATTCGCACTTTTTATTATTGATTTTTAAAATTTGTACTTTAACAATTTTTATAATGTTTGAACAATTTTTTACCATCATTTTAAGTAGATGTATTTCTACATAACCTACAAAAAATTAGAGTTTTTATGCAAATTTCGTACATATATGAATTACATATAAAGCGGGGCATATTGTTAGAACGCTAATAACGCCAAATGTGGTTTATGCACTTTGTTAAAATTATTTGAAAGTATAAAAGATGACTTTTTTCTGCTCCTGTATAAAGAATAAAAAGAGAGGAAAATAGGTTGCTATATATCAAGAAATTTGCCAAGTGAATTATTCTTGGCCCAAACTGAAAAATATGCACTAAAATAGATTTTTGAATTTTGCAACCTAATTTTACAAAATTTAATATTTAGGCATAATTTGAGGCATAGAATCAAAATATGGGAAAACATTGGCAAGTCTGTTCAGAAAAAGTCAGATTTTGTGTCAAAATATCTATATTAGAACAACACTATATTTAAATCTAATATATATCCCAAGTCATGCTTTCAAGACACAAAAAAAGCAATTTAAATTTCGTCAATCCGCCCAGTAGAGTGGGAGATATAGAACTGCCCCCTTTTTTTTATAGAGTACATGTCTCACATGTGATTTCTTTCATGCAAGTGCAATTAACTTTATGATTGGCTCTATTACTTCTCCATTGTCCAATTTCCCTTAGTGCATATTTTGTATTGTATAAATCTTTTAGTCCTTATTAATTCTGGGGAGTCACAATAAATTTTAGATACTTAATTATAGGTATAATTACAGATACTGAATATGTATAGATTATAGAATGCAGGGCCTTTTAGTTGTAGTGTATGTTTATCATTAAACAGATTAACAGATCTCCCAAATAAGTCCTTGTGTAAAATATCATAGGGCCCTTTAATTTTTCATTAATCAAAGGAATCCAGAACAAAAAATTTCAAAGCTATTCCAATAGTGACTTGACTTCAGAATTCTTGAAGGAAATCTTATTAGAAAAAAAATTATACCTATTTATGACTAATCTGGTTTATATTATTATAGCAAAGCACGCAACTATCTCCCTGAGGAAAGATATGCCTTCATGGATGATTTTGTAAGGGAAACTAGGTTGTTTCCATATTACACATGGGGAAAATCACAAAAGTGCCCATATATGCAAACTTATATAAAAAAAAGTTTAGATATCACTGCATGAGTTATTACTGAAGCAGTCCAGTACTGATAAACATGCGGTGATGAAAGCAAAATATATTAAATAATGACTCGCCAGGTCAGCATCAGGAATATAAAATAGGTAAGTGTTTCGGTTTGAGATGTAATGCCAAGCAGACACTCAGCTGCGGAGCCAAATTATTAATCTCACAAATTTATGCTTACATGATTGTTTTTTCATACGTGTATTTATTTATGCCTAGTGAAATTAAATTGGAATTTTTTAAGTGAAATCATGTTTATTATGGAGGAAAAATCAAATGCACATGCATAAAGCATATATATATAAAAAAAAGTTTGTGGCTTTGAGGTCCAGATTTTAGATCATTCTGGATAATGGACATACAGATTTCGGACTTTGTACTATACTAACTGCTCAATGAGAATTGCAAAGAGGTGTTCATAATTCAAAACTAGAATTTAAATAACATATGAATTACCTATAAGTTGAGAACTTCCCCATATAAATGGTAAGAATTGATAATCATCCAAACTCCACACGCCATGGCTACCTGCAGGCTCCATACGATAAGTAACTTGCAATTTTCTCATTAAAATTAAATACCTGTAAAATCAGCAACATTAATACCTAAAAAAAAAAATTCAGTTACGTTTTCTCAAACTGAAAACACTGAAAGCAATTACCTATTGAAAATTTTTAGAATTGCTTGATCAGAATCTTCAGTTTTTAAAGCTCCTATTTTAAATAAACAGCATAAAAGCATAGCAAAAGACATCTCATGACCTACAAATGAAAAAAAAAAAAAAAATACTATGAAAAATTTAATAAGTTTATAATTATAATAATCATCATAAGATTTAAAACAAAAATACAATATTAGCATAAAAAAAGCTGAAAAATTGAACCCTCTAGATATGCAAATTAACTACTATACAAGAGTCAATTATGTAGAATTGTGCACTTCTACTCCCAAAAATCTTAAAATTAGTGTAGATTTTGAACAAACTCTGTTAATTTCATTAGTTCACAGCAAACAAACAAAAATTTTTTTAATGTTTGTTAGTCTCCATTTACCCCTTTGTTTTTGAAGGAGACATATAGAAGATCTATGTCAAATCATTCACAAAATTATAAGGTATTTCTCCCACTTCCCTAGCGAGCCTTTGTGGTGTCAAGGTTCTGCACACTGGGCCGGTATTCCAGAGGTCTGTGGTTCGATTCCCGGCAAAGCCGTTTGCTTTTTTCATCTTTTCGCTCTAAAAATCTAATGACTCTACAAGTGACCCGAACTAAAGGGTTGTGGATGAGATTCTCCGCACCCAGGATTTGGCACTAGGTCCCTAAAACCTAGCACCCTTAAAAAGGGGACTATGTAGTATTTCTCCCACTTCCCTATGAACTTTATGGTGTAGTGGTCTGGCACATTGGGCCGGTATTCCCGAGGTCCTGGTTCATTCCCGGGAAGCGGTTCATATTTTTCATCTTTTCTGCTTCCAATTAACCTAATGACTCTATAAAATTGACAGAATTCTATTTAAAATCCACATTAATCTAAGGATTTTCTCTTTCATAAATTTCCACCTCCAATTTAATATTTCACACTGGAGGTTAATTTTTTTTTTTTTTTTTTTTTTTTTTTTTTTTAAGCAAGTAAAACAAACTGTACAGAAAATTTGGTACTTGTGCATTATCCCATTAGCCATGAAACTGTCAGCAAACAACATAATTTAGCATCACTTATGTATAAGCATTAACATCACAACACACTCATAGCATCTGTGTTTTTCTCTGATGTAAGTTCGATAGATTCTCAATAAACCACTCTTTTTTTTATGAATAAGGATATACATTAGCTGTTACTGTGGTCATTTTCAGGATTTTGGAGGGGGGAAAGAAGTTTGAGGGCTGTAGAATCACATTTGTAACTACACTTTGGTTCATTTGTAGCTGGTCTAGAGAATTAACGTCTAGTGAATGGAAAAAAGAATCTCTGATATGGCCAATAGATCAACTAGATTCAAACAATCAGCTGTATGAAGCTTTACTCCTAGTATTCTAAGTAAGTTTCTAGTAAAATCAAAGACTATAACAAAATACTAGGTATCGATGAAAGCCTTTTTATGAAGCCAGTCAAATATGAGGGTAAGGTGAAAAGTTCTCGGCCTGATGCAGAGATGGTGCTCCAATCAGAAAAAATTTATGTTCCCTACCTGGATGCATGTGTCATTAGTTAGTATGACCAGTTTCAATTTGCTTTCTCAAGTAGTTTGTTTACACGAATTTTCGCAGTAGATGTCTTGCGTATTATTATGAATAATGGTATTATTATGAATAATGGATATAAAATGGATAAACTTGAATATCGAATAGTCATAAAATTCTTTGCTTTGGATGGATTAACCCCTAAGGAAATTTATCCAAAGTTGATAAAAGTTTACAGGGACTTTGCATCTTCCATGTCAACCGTTAAAAAGTGGACAGCTGAATTTAAACGTGGTCGCAGATCCCTCGAAGATGACTCTTGTGAAGGACGGCAAAAAACCGCAACCACACTGGAAACCGTTGAAAAAAGTGCATGATATTGTGTTGAATGATAGGTGAGTGAAGGTGAATAAGATAGTTGAAGCTATGGAGATATGGGAAGAAGGCTGCAAAACATCTTGCAAAAAGAATTAGGGTTTCAAAAGCTCTGCACAAAATGGATGCTGCATTTACTGAATGCCGAGCAAAAGCAAATGTGCAAACAACTTTTGCAGCAATCTTTGGACTGATTCAGCAAGGTTCCGACTGATTTTGTGTCACAATTTGTCACCATGAATGAGACACGGGTCAATCACTAAACGCCAGAAATAAAACAGCAGTCCAAGCGGTGGGTGGAAGCCAGTGGTTCAGCACCAAAGAAAGCAAAGTCCATCGAATCGCCAGAAAGGTCAAGGCCAGCATGTTTTGGGATGGGAAAAGTAATCCTGTTTAATTGTTTACCTTGCAGAGGGTAGAACAATTACAGATGAATATTACTCCAACCTTCTTTACCAGCTGGATGCCAAAATTTCTGAGAAGAGACCTGGTTTGAAGAAGAAAAAAAAATCATTTTTGACCAGAAAGAATGCACCTGTGCAGAAAGGAGCGTTAGCAAGAAGAAAACTGCAGGATTTTGGGTATGATTTGCTTGGCCATCCCCCTATTCTCCTGGTTTGGCACCTGCAGACTTCCGTCTGTTCCCAAACTTGAAGAAATTTGTTTCTGGAAAGCACTTCACATCCAATGAAGAAGTTTAGAGCATCGTAGAGGAATATTTTCGACACCTTCCAGATTGTCACATCCGGAAAGGAATACTGATGTTGGAGAAAAGCTGGACCAAGTGTGTTGAAACCAAGGGAGATTATATAGAAAAATAAAATAATTTTTTAACTGAAAGTCACCGTCTTTCATTAAACTTAGACAGATCGATATTACCGAGCTATTGCAGGCGCAACGTTGCCGGTTCCTTAAATAAAGCCCAAGGGCACATGACATAGTGAATTCTGGAAAAGGAAAACATCTCGGAAGAGAAAACGGAGAAAGGAAAAGTGAGAGGGGTACCAAAAGAAAAAAGGCCAAAGGCATCTGGCAGGTGATTGGAACTTGACAAGATGAAAAAAATCTGAACTGATCTCTGACAATACAGAGAAACAACGAATGCAAAACATGGTTCAAAATAGTATACTACAGCAACAAAAGTTCAATACTACTACTTAACTACACAAATTCAACCGATACAACAGAAAATCAACAAAACGGTCATTACAACATTACACTAACAAATCCAAACAACTTAGAGTACATCACTGTCTTCATCAGATAAAACGAAAGAAATTACAGCCACCAATTGAGGAGCAAGAGAAGATGCAGAGGCCTCATCCTATGAAGGTGTGAGCTGCAAGTGGTCTTATGTTGCAATCTTCATTGAGTATTTCATAGTTGAAGAGAGAATAGTTCACATAGTCGCATTGACAGCTTTAGAGAAGAATTTCTCATTTGTTCTTTTTATAAATTCTGCGATGGTTTCAAGCTTAAGATCTCTATGAAGAAGTCCATTTCGGATGCGAAAGTCAGCATCAGTGATAATACAAAGAAATTTATTCTGCACTACATGAAGTTGATGTAATTGATTCAGAAAGGCAGTATTCCAAGCAGGAGATGCATAACAAAAAATAGGTCAGATATATGTATAAATATGTCTCTTGGTTCTTAGGCTTAGGTTAGAAAATTTTCCAATTACTGGAAGAAATCTGCACATAATTCCAATGGCTTTATTTTTAACATTCTTAATATGGTTGGTCCAAGTGAGATTATGGTTAAGAATCACTCCTAAGTATTTGGCTTTTGTAACTAAAGGAACAGGCTCTTGAAAAAGGAAAAGTTTTTTTAACTTGGTGCATTTTTTGTTTTTGCGAAGGATTAAAAGTTTAGACTTACTGGCGTTAATTTTAACTCTCCAGTTGGTGCACCAGTCCTCTACAGTGTAAAGAAAATCTTGCATTTTATTAATTGCATGATTAGCGTTGACAGACTTGATGGCTATCGCCGTATCATCGGTGTAGCATGCAAGAAGAGAGTATTTGCCAAGTCCAGGAAAGTCCAAGATGTAAAACAGGTAAAGAACCGGTCCGAGGATGCTTCTCTGTGGGACACTAGATCTTATAGTTCTCAGAGTAGAGGTTTCATTGCCTAATGAGATGAAGAACATGCGATGTTGCAAAAAAGGAATAAATCAGGAGAATAAATTCTCTAGGCAATCCAAGGTTGAGCAGTCCTTCATAGTCAGACCGAGAACTTTCCATCTTACGCTCGTACTTCTGCAGCGGTGGTTATTTGGTGGATTGTGCAATGAGACTGATGAATGTTTTAATGTAAGAGTTGTAAACAGAAGTGCAGCTCAGAATTCCACAGAAACAACTGGTGCGACTCTGGCAGGATCCCTTCCAACTTGCATTGTTTGATGGTAGCCAACTTTCACAATCGATGGGATAATATGCAAGTACTGAAAATTTTTGTGAAGAATGTACTTTATGCCTATACTTTTATAGAAGACTTTAAAATATAATTATTTACATCGAGAAAATTCTTAATCAACTGCACTGCATATATTAGTTGCTTTTTCTCTTGCATTCTTACCAAATTTTTTAACATCACAACCTACATGCACGTAGTTGCAATTTATCCTGCCATCTTTAATCTAAAGTAAAAGCTTCTCTTCCCCTCTACAGAAGCTTTACCTTAAACAGCTTTTCTTAGCTCCTACCTACATTTTTATTTACTCCTACACTTTTATCTGAAAGCTTCTTTGTATCAAAACTAAATTAAATCTTTAGGATTTTAACTCATTATACAAGATTTTTACATTAACCAAGATTTTAACTCATTATACACATCTGCATACTTTTACTCATTAAAATCATCCAAAAAAACATTTTTGAGGAAGAAAGCTTGTAAACAATATAATTACCCAAATATATAATAATATTAACAAAAGAACAGAAAAATTAATCTTTTCTGTGTTAGGACTATAAAGTATATAAAATATTGTTCCTAAACATACCTGTTCCATAATCTATTCGTGTCGAATTGCCAACACTTTCTGTTAAATAAACAGCAAGTTCAATAATACTAGGATGCATATTTTCTGGTAAAACATTCTTCAGTAGAGATTCAGATTCCTGCATTAAAATACATTTCATGGACCTTTTAAAATAATTATTTAGATTCAAACAATAGCAAATATATTTAACCCTTTAACAGCAAGTTATTTACTAACAATATCTGGTACAATTTTATTAAATCATCTTTTGATAATATCTATTCTTTTAACCCTTTCGCGCTGATTGTCACATATACATGCAAGAAACGCACTCATTTCCCGGCCAACGTGCTGGCATGCCAGAGCCTTTTCTCGTTCACCCCCGGCCATCACACATTTGTGCCAGTGTCCTGGAATATTTTGACAGCTCTTTAAGCTATCATATATGTTAAAATTAGCGTTTAAATATCTTTTTCTTTTACATTACATGAAAATATATAAAAATAAAAAAAAACAAATAAAAAAATGTAATAAAAGTCTGAAAGCTTTCACATTTTACATTACGTCCAAAGGGACACTTTTAACGTTGTGTTACCTTTATTTATTAAATATCATGTTCTTAGCACTTAAACCATAAAATTCAGTTCAGCAGCAATATCGCAAAATAATTTTTAAATGATCATAGCTTTAGAATTTCCGATACGCAGTCTCGCATGCTGGAGATAAAAATGTTTTTTTCCAAGTACAGTTTTGCCATTGCTTGCTTTGAAATCAATTAATTTTTTAATAAAAAATTCCTTAAAATTTTACAAAATATGAAACATAAAATAAAACAAATTCCAAATTTGGGCTTCCAGATGCCCATATCCAGGTGGAAACGAACGTTATTCAAAATTTGATGTCTTTAGGTACCGTATCACAATGCAAGAAACATACATACATTTATGCAGATTCTTCATTATTTAATTTCTTTAAATATAATACAGGGTGATAATATTTGGTGGCAACAATTTGAAAAGTGAACCGACATTTATGGTGAACCAACGCAAAATGTTAAAACGAAATCCTTCTGGGCAAATTACCCCTTTGGACTAAAAATTGCTCTGAATACTTTCAGATTTTACATTATGCCCAAAAGGACTTTTTTTAAATATTTTGTGTGTTACCTTTATCTGTTAAATGTTCTTTGCACTTAAAACATAAGATTCAATTCAACAGCAATATCGCAAAATAATTTTAAAATAAGCCTATCTTTAGAATTTCCGATACACAGTCTCACACAATGGAGATATTTTTTTTTTTTTTTTTCCCACACAGTTTTGAAATTTCAAATTCCAAATTAGGGCTTCCAGATGCCTATATTCGCCATTATGTTATTCAAAACCATCACGTTATTTAAAATTTGATCGCTCTAAGTACCATTTTTTATCACAATGCGAGAAGCACACATACATTTATGCAGATTCTTCATTATTTAATTTCTTTAAATATAACACAGGCAATAATAATTGGTAGCAATAATTTGAAAAAGTGAGGCAACACTTAAAATTTTCAATGCAAAATGCGAAAACGAAATTAATAGCCCTTCAGGGCTAACACCCTTTGAGCTAAAAATACAAAAAAGTCTTTTTACAAAAAGTAAAATCGTTTACGTGACTCAGTGAGCTTAGTCTCTGACAAAATGCCCATATGAGAATCACTAAAAATACTGCTTTCTAACTCTTTAGGAAATGAATCATCACTCTCATTCATATCACTAACTGGCTCATTTATCACTCATCTGATAAAAAAAAAAAACGCTTGCTTGCTATAATAAACTGAAATCGTATATGGTATATAAGTAAACTGAAGGCTTTCCAAAATAAAAACAACACAAAAAGTAATAGAACAGAACCTCAGCTAGTAACCCTAAGACGCTACATAGTAGCAAAAAAAAAAGAATACAAAAAGGATTCACAGGGATATAGAAATGTGAATGTTTATATCACGAGCCGGTTGTGAAATATGTGTGTTTCTTGCTTTTTCATGGATTTAGACTTAATAGCAAAACACCCTCAGACCCTGGACAAACACTTGCAAAAGAGACTGTTGGCCTCAGCGATATGTGCACATTTGCGCTTCCCATCATGAAAGGGTAAAGAATTAATACTTTTTATCAGATTTGAAATTAATTGCATAATTTATCTCAGTCAAAAATTACTAATGTATAAAAAATACAGCATACATAAATATCTTTTTGCCTTAAATACTTGAGGTAAAACTTAAATATTTGAAATTTGTATCTTGTATACTACTTCATAAAACTAAATTAATAAAGAGAATAAAAATTAAAAAGATTTAAATTTTAGAAGCACTCTCAAAACCAAATAGAAAATTATAGAATCTAATTAAAATATTAAGTTAACTTATGATCTAAATTATAGAATCTAATTAAATATTAAGTTAACTTATGAATCAAATAAAACATTAAATTCTTAATAAACATTAAATTCTTATCAGCACAGATCTACAGAAAACTTAAGCCTTTATCAGAAGCCTATTTTTTTAATTACACACTAATTAAAAATTGATTAGGAAAATACTGTCTTAAAAAACCAAACATAATTAAATTTTTATTATAAAAACTCACAGAAAATTCTTTTTATGATGGATAATTCATTATACTCCTAATTTCAGAAGTACTGTCAGATTTAAATTCACTGAAAACAACTATACTTACCCAGTTTAAAAATATATTAAGCAGTAAGAAATTATTATATATCTAAACATATTGCATTAATTATATTAGTTTACCTCTTTCAACTTTGCATAGAATGTACGAAATGCTTTGTTTCCGAAGCGCTGTGGCTGTTCTATGGGAGGAATTTCATCAATCCACTTATCAAGTATTTCTAACATATCACACATTTTATTAACAACCTAAAAAAAAAAAAAAAAAAAAAATTTAGAGCAAATTAATTTTAATTTCAACATAAAAATAAAATAAAATATAATAATATAACATAATAAAAATATAATAATATAACATAAAAAAATCAGATCCTCTGAAAGGAGTTATTAATACTATATTATTATTAGTAGTACTATATTACTTAAAAACACATTTTTAAAAACTATACAAAAAGAAAATTATTAACATTTATTCATGAATAAAAATAATACCCTATATAATACTATATTATTATTAGTAGTGCTATATTACTTAAAAACACATTTTTAAAAACTATACAAAAAGAAAAAAATTATTAACATTTATTCATGAATAAAAATAATACCCTATATCAGGGGTCGGCAACCTGTTTGTCCTTAAGGACGCAATACTAAATTTGAAAATCACCGAGGGCGCATATTTTACAGATAATCAACAGGTATAAATAGGCATTAAAAAAACAGATTTTTTATAACTTTATTTTGTTGGTGTCATACATAATGATACATATAATTCAGTGTGAAACTTGGGTGTCAATATTTTCAGCTAATTTCTTATAATTGGGGATATATTTAGAGTTCCCCCCGGTCCTTAAACAATTATCTAAATGTGAGTCATTAAGCTTTGTTCGGTATTTTGATTTCAAATATTTCATATTTGAGAACAAAGACTCGCAATTGTATGTTGTTGCACAATATGAATAAATTTTTAGTGCACATTTCCTTAAAATAGGATACTTATTTTCATCGACTAAGTTCCAAAGCATCATTACTATGTGCTTTTAAAATAATATCACTTTGCAAGCTTACTATTTCAAGGACATCATCTTCAGTAACACTGAATGGATTTATGAAAAATCTTAGAATGGGTTCTAATGCTGCAAAATCTTCAAATCTAGAAGAAAACTCTTGTATTAGCTTATCTATAATTTCTAAATATGATGTGGCAGTAAAATTTTCATTATTCAAATTTAAACTCTCAACAGTTCAGTTAAACTCTCAACAGTTTTTTATATTTGGGAAACGTGATAATGATTTTTTCAATAGATGGGATTTCAACAACACTAACTTGCATTTGAATGCATTTACTGCACTAATTATGTCAGCGATATGCTGGTTTTTTCCTTGTATTTTTAAATTTATAATTCATTTAACTTTGCCGTTATATCTGTCAGAAATCCGAGGTCGATTAGCCAATCCTTATTTTCTAATTGCTCGTAAAATTCGCCTCTTGATGCAATAAATTCCTTTATTTGTGGCAAAAGCATGATAAACCGCTCAAGTATTTTACCTCTGCTCAGCCACCTCACTTCAGTATGTAAAAGAAGATCTGTGAACTGAACGTCCTCATCTTCTAAAAGTAATTTAAACAATCTGTGTTGCATAGCTCCCGATCTTATGGAATTAATAATTTTTGTTACTATCGTAAATACGTGTTGAAAACCGATTGTTTTTTTTTGCGCATAACATTTCCTGATGTATGAGGCAATGATAAGAAATAAATTTCGGGAATAAAGAATCCTGTTTACATAAGGCAATAAATCCTTTTTCTTACCAGTCATCGCTGATGCCCCGTCTGTTGTAATTGACGATAACTTTTGTACAGGTAATTTTACATCTGTTATATACTTTTTAAAAGTAGAAAAGATATCTTCTCCTCTGGTGCTTCCCTTTAATGGCAGAATTTTAAGGAATTCTTCTTTTGTTGTAAAATCAGAAAATACCATCTTCACGCAGATTGCTAATTGTGATATATTTGTCACGTCTGCCGATTCATCCATCTGTAGCGAAAAGAAAATACACAATTTTCCATATCATTTGCTAATTCTGCCTCCAAATTCTCCGCAATTACTTCAATTCTTCTAGTAACAGTTCGTGCTGATAATTGCAACGTGTTTATAGCTGAAACTATTTTCCTTTTTATTTTTAAATTCTTCAAAAAGTGAATCAGCAGCTTCTAACATGGCTTCTTTCACTAATTCTCCATCTGTAAATGGTTTTTTTATTCTTAGCTAGCAAATGCGATATTTTATATGACGCGATCGTTGCTGCTTTATGTTGTTTGCAGTGGTTTAGTAAAAAAAACTTTGCTGGTTAGTTATTGAAGATTTTAAAGAAATAATTTTTTTTTTCTTCTAATTTCAGAGTTCATTGGATAGTCACTATCAAAATTGGTATGAACGGTCTTAAAATGTCGTTCAATATTACTTTTCTTGGGAATCGCAACACTATTATTACACAACAAACAAATACACTTCCCTTTGTAATCAACGAAACAATATAGATGTTCCCATTCATCATTAAAATAATATGTTCTTTTTCTTTTACATTTATCCATGAAGGGTTTTGAAAGAAAAGAATTATTTCGGATTACTTGGTAGTTTTAAATGCACGGTCTACGCGTGGTCTATTCGAAATACGATCACACACTAACAAAAAATACGTGCGTGTTATTAGATACGCTCAAGGTTAGCAAACTGCTAATCTATGCACAATCCTAAACTCAACTGACTACTGTCTAACCACGCTAGCGAGAGCAGTTTGGCTGAGGGCCAAGATGGGTCAGTTTAATTGAAGGGGTGTGTGGGCGAAAAGCGCGGGTATTTTTCCCTCTCGAAGGTCGAAGGGGTGTGGGTGAAATCGAAGGTCAGGGGACATTTAGTGTCTACCGGGCTACTGCACTCACCCCTACATAACTGATAGATGTGCCCACTTCCGCCCCAAACCGGATGTTTACATAGATCTGGAATACGTGGTCAGACAGTACTTGCTGTATATCGCCGTTTGACAAGAGTAAGTAAATCGCTCTGGCTATCATACATTTACATTAGTCCAGCAAGGGCGCATTAAAAATCGATCGGGGGTGCCACGTTGCCTACCCCTGCCCTATATAATACCTTATTATCATAGCCTTTGCTTTGTAAATAGTGCCAAGATCATGAATACATCAGCAACACAAATTATCTTTAAATGGCTCGCAATGATAATGATGTTCACTTATAGTGTGCCTGTGATAAAAAGAGCTCCAAGTAAATTATATATTATTTTCATTTTTCATATAAATATAAAAAATCTCCAATTATTCATATTTCTCTCATTACAAGAAGATCACCGAGTATCGTTAATGTATTTTTGTTTTTCAAAAATATGTTTAAAATGTTTGATTTATTGAGAAGTATGGAAGATGCTAATCTTTTCTCCAAGAAAGATGCATGACATTAGTTAAAACTCCACATCAATAAAAACATTTGGAAATACATTGCAAGTGAAGGAAAAGCATTGTGATTCAGTTTATTTGATTATAGTGGTGCAGTTTAACCTTTGAATTTTGAATTATTATTTTTGAACTATTTTTTTAACTGCATTATGTCATGTACCTGAAACTACACCTTTAACTATGAAGAAACTCAATAAAATAATGACATTTCAGGAAGTAGGGTAATTCAGTGTTGCATGCAGATGCATGCTCTTTGTGAACTTCTTTTTGTTAACTATAAATGCTGTTAATGTTGTGAAGATGACTAGTGATTGATTTTATTAAGCCAATTAGTCTTTCTAATCAGTTAGTTCTCTTTCCAGTATAACGTGTGCAGTGATTGGTTACGTGATATATTACAGTGGTGACTCATAAGTGAAAAATCGAGTACATTTCCTTTATTATAAGCATCCAGAGGATATGTCGTCAATGTACTCACACAAATGTAAAATCATTATAAAAGTGCTACAGAAGAGATAAAAGCCACAGATATTTTTGTACATTTTCTTGTGATTTTGATGGCTGCTCATCACATGCATGTGTGTGACACAGTGTTTTAAATGCATGTGTGCAGGAAAATTGCACGGATTCAACAACATATATTTGAGCATGTTTTTCTCACTTATGGTTGGTAAGCAAACATTTTCAACTTCCATTCACCATCACTGCATTTTCATTAAACTGTATTTTGATACATTTCAATTTTCTAGCTGCAATGTTGCTGTAATGGGTGCTTTGTTTTTGCTCATTGAATATGCATGTTTGGGCAGCACTGCTTAATATTTTTAATGTAGAATTACTTTCCTTCATAATGGTCTAGTAGAAAAGCAAAAATTAAGACGCTATTTGAAGTGCGTGCAAATGCTCGTAACTTTGAAACTACATATGTTACAATCTATCTAAATGCATCATTAGATAGATGAAAGAGCAAACACAAGAAACATTTAAAAAAAAAATTGGACAAAAGGTATATGCATAGTAACCCATCAAAAATAGCAAAATTTTGGTGAAGCCAAAGCTTTGTGTGCATGCGAGTGCTAAGGTCATCTGGTAGACAGTTGCAAGTAGATAGTCAGTGTGTTCAGTGGTATTTGTTGTATCTTATTTTATTTCACTAAGATAATGATGTTGCAATTTATAGAAATTTGACGAGTGTAGCAGATTGTCTACTACTATTAGAATTTACTGTTAAGTATCATAAGAAAATATAGGATTAAGAAGTGGATTAAGAATTTATGTGGTTGATGTAACTGTTAATAAACAATATTTATTCTAGCATCCAATATATATATTCATCCAACTGTTAATTCAGAAGATTTTAAGATGTTCTTGTTTAGTGGACTGATGAAATATCTTGAGACTACTTTATTAATCAATGAAAGGTTTACTGTAGATACTGTTACAGATTTGGTATGTAAATAGCTAAAGTTAGTTGAATTATAAATTAAATTGTTTTATTCCCCGCGCAATGCAGCGCCTGACGAATATTAAAGGAAAGCTAAGCCGAAAAATTGAAAATACAAGATCGCGCGCATTTAACATTAAATAAATATCTCTTTTTGATTTTGAGAAAGTTCCATAAAATTCTCGCGCGCAATTTAAAATCTTATAAAAGGAGGAAAACCTCTCAGTTTGTTTTTATTTTAGTTAGCTTGTTGTTGTTTTAAGAGTTTGTTTAGAAAACTGCTCTTGTTGATTGCAGCGAATTCGTGGATTAGCTTTCTTTTAGCTGTTT